TTTAGTCTGTTGCTTTATTTTTTTTCTATCAAGAGGCAGTGGGGAGAATAAGTGGCATCATTCTTCAGTCTTTTTTTTCCATCACTGTTGAAGATTGATTGAGTCATTAATTGAATAGTGGGGCTTTAACGAGCATCTTGGAAGGACCATAGAAACAGTTCGCATGAGAAAGCCTGTGCCATTTTGTGAAAGGCCTTGATTTTGCCGCCTGCCACATGCGGTGTAACTCCCTGGGCGTGACAGGGCATAGCCTTGTTGGACCCCAACCACCAAACTGCCAGGTCTGTGACACTGAGCCAAGCATTGCCAGGGTGGCCCCTGAAAAAGAAAGAAAAAGTTTGGTTTTAGGACCACACCTGGAGGTTGTCAGGGCTTACTCCTGGCTCAGGGATCTCCCCTGGTGGGGCTCTGGGCGCTATATGGGGTGTCGGGTCAGGCATTGAACCTGGGTCTGCCACGTGCAAGTGAAGTACCCTGCCCTCCAGCGCCCAGATAATTCTTTGTGGGGCATCGTGTGCATCCAGAATCACTCGTGGAGGAAAAGTTGTCTTTCAAAGAGCAAGGCGTTTCTTTCCCCCACTTTCACCCTCCCACTTAAGTGGATTTAGAATGAACTGGTAAAAGACTTCCTAGCCTTCTTCACCATTATTTCCAAGGGTGTCCTTCCCCTCATACAAACACATTTCAGTTGTGAGCCTTTGATTGTCCTATGGCAAATCTAACAGAATGGGGTATTTCACTCAGTCACTAACAAATGGAGCCTTCATTATTCAGTGAAGGGTAGAGACCAAAACTACCAGTGCCGTGAAAAAATACCAATGTCAAGGGGATAAAACGATTCTCTGATGTTACAAGGTGGTTGTTTTATCATGACATCTCTTAAAAATTTGAAGTGAGAAGTGCAAACTTTGGACACATCTGGGCAAACTCTTTTCATGCCAAAAGAAGCAAGTGTGCAGATTCCGAAATGGAAAATGGCTAGCATGCTAAAGAATAACAATGGTTTGAATCATAGAGGATGAGGGGTTAAATATTTATTGTGTTTGGAAGGGTTTTGACTCCAGTAGTTTTTATAAGAATCCTAAAAGGTGCTAACTGGCAACTGGACTCTGGTGGGAATGGGTTAGTGTAACAGACTATGAAGTTAGTGGAGAGGTTGGGTCAGGAAGTGGGTGAAGGAGTCGGGTAAGAGGAGAGTGGATGTTCAAGTCGCCAGGATTTGTTGATAAATTTTTACACATAGTGCGTTTTGTGTAGGGCTGGAGCGATAGCACAGCGGTAGGGCGTTCGCCTTACAAGCGGCCAACATGGCCGACCCGAGTTCGATTCCTCCGCCCCCCTCGGAGAGCCCGGCAAGCTACCGAGAGTATTCGATATGCCAGACACAGTAACAACAAAGTCTCCAATGGAGACGTTACTGGGCCCGCTCGAGCAAATCGACGATCAACGGGAGGGCCTTTACCTTTTACCTTTAGTGCGTTTTGTGAGGAGTAAAATTAAGCTAACATTTTGGAATGAGCATCCAGATGGCAGTCAGTGGTACATATTACTAGGGAGAGATGAAGAGTTAAGTCAGAGTGTACATGAGACACATCTGCTGGAGAGGACTGAAGTTCCAGTGTTAGATAATATCCACCAAGGAAGCAACATGAAAAGTTAAATCCAAGGATTGGGCATCAAGGCTTCAGCATTTAAAGGAAATACAGCAGAAGAGATAGAGCATGCTCTTTATATAGCATGCTTCTTAAGTTACTTCTTTAAGTTTATAGCATGTTAAGTTAGTTTTTAATACTATCCTACGTAAAATATAACTGCAAAGGTTAACTTAGAAAGATGTGTAAGTAAGGGCCAGAGAGAGAGAGGTCAGCAGGTAAAGTGCTTGTCTTGCAAACTAACCTGTGTTAGATCTCCGGCACCCCGTAAGGTCCCTGAACCCCACCAGGAATGATCCCTGAGCACAGATCCAGGAGGAACCCCTGAACACCACCAGGTGTGGCCCTAAACCAAAATAAAATGTGTGTGAATAGTTTAACTGTGATTGAGAAGTTTGACAAGTCCGTATTTGTTTTCATTTTAGAATATTAGTGGTTTTTGAAGATTTGCCTCTATAGAGAATTGTATTTTTGAATATTCAAACTTGTGCTTGTACCTAACCATATAAACTTGATATAACATACAAAATACATACGTACCCACTTGCAAATAGGTGTGTCTCTTTTGATAGTGTTATTTGTTTTTTAAAAGCATTTATCTTCACCATTAGGAACTCAAAAGACTATTGGCAATGAAAATATCTGATTGATTGTGCTTCAGGATAAATAATGAACCTATTAGAGGATAATGACTTGGCAATTGAAAGTTGAATGTCTTTGAAGTGAAACTAGACTTAAGAATTCGCTCAGTTTACTTTTCTTGGGGGCCTTGCCTGAATCCCAGAGTGCTTGATTAAATATTCCTCTGCGTGACTATATGGCTGAGCGCTTGGTTAAGTATTCCTGTGTGTGTCTATAGAGCTGAGTGCTTGGTTAAGTATTCCTCAGTGTGACTATAGAGACGAGCGCTTGGTTAACTATTCCTATGTGTGTCTATAGAGCTTGAGTGCTTGGTTTAGTATTCCTGTGTGTATCTATAGAACTTTTACTGTACATAACTTCAACCTTGGCATATTTCATTGAAAATTTGTTCACATCTCATAACACAGATTATGCCATGCTTCTATTATCAGCATCCTGTAATCTGACAGAGTGTAGGATTCAATGACCTTGTTAGACTGAACAGTGACAGAGATCTGTCCCCTTTGAAGGAATTTTGATTTCAATTTAGAAATAAGAGTCATGTTTTCATTGCTTTAAGTTGTTCTAATTTTCAAAATAAGCTATGACACTTGAACAGAGTAATGCTTCCAACTGTCTAAAAAACTGCTTCCTATGATTTTAGTATCTTGTTCCTTTCAGATGTATTCTAATTACATTCTAGGTATCACAACATTAAACTTGTATATTTTTAGAATATAAAAGTTTCAAGAGGTCATTTCATTAACTAATGCCATATTACATGAAACTTGGGAACATGAGAGGATACATTGTTCTTTAAAAGAATTATGACATTTAAGTTGAGTCTGAAAATAATATTTTTATTAAACTGAAACTTAGATGAAGTGTGGAGAACCAGGGGGCATATGAATCTAATAGAGACATACACATATGTGTGTTTTATATCAAAATTGAATTTTCTTTGTCACTCACCATTGCATTGATAATCAGATTCAATAGCTTCATCACATTACAACAAAAACAACAGGTTTATTTGTCCTTCATGAGACATTAGATTATAATAAGGCCTTTAGATGTAGCATACTTGCTAGATGGTAAAGTTATATAGTATACAAAGTTATACAAGTATATAAAGTTATATAGTATACAAAGCAAGGGACTGTGCTGAAAGTTCAAAATATAGACTTACTGCTTGACAGTTGATTTTAATGGATTTTAATGAACCTTTCTAATAGACTATTAGAGATTCAAGCCTTTAAGGGAAATTCTTTATTTTAATGGGCTAAAAATATTATGGTTGTTATCGTTTACTCATACAAGTGTTGCAAAGTAAAGTAAACATGGCGGCTCAATCACAGTATGTTGAAAACATTTTCTCCTTTTTCATAGCAGTCTGTAATACTGTTGCCCTACTGTGAGCATAGACTTCAGTGGAAAGTGATTCAAAGGAAATACCACTGCTGTTCTACTGCTTCTAGACTCTCAAGCTGTAATATTTTTATCCATCGTGGTATTATAATAGACTGAAATAATAATGTAGCAGCTTGGGTGCTTGCCTTGCATCGGCTCATCTGGGATCAGTCCCCACCTGACCCCTATACCGCCATCCCATATGGTCCCCCAAGCACCAGGAGTGGTTCCTGAGTATAGAGCCAGGAGTAACCCCTGGGCATTGCCAGGTGTAGCCCCAAAACAAAATTTGTATGTTATACTTACTATAATCTTTGAATTGGAGTGATAGCACAGCGGTAGGGTGTTTGCCTTGCACACAGCCAGCCTGACTGAGCCGTGTTCGATTCCTCTGCCCCTCTCGGAGAGCCCTGCAAGTGACCGAGAGCATCCCGCCCGCACAGCAAAGCCTGGCAAGCTACCCGTGATGTATTATATATGCCAAACACAGTAACAAGAATTCTCAAAATGGAGATGTTACTGGGACCACTTGAGCAAAATTGATGAACAATGGGAGGACAGTGGCAGTGACAAACTTTGAATTAGTTATATTTCAAGTAATATTTGTCGATTAAACTGTTTTAATCATTAAATAAACTCTCAAAAAGCCATGAAATAAAAATGGAAGACTGTGAAGAGTATTTGCTACTTTTAAATGTTATTTGCCTTGTTTTATTTTTTAAAAAGATATATAAAAACTGTCAACAACTTTGAGAATACTGAAAATATTTCTTCATCCTATGTAGTTTGAAAGACTGGGATATCTACGATGTTTCAAAACACCAAGAGGTTTTATCTGGGCATTGCTTCCAAATGAACATTGTGCTCTAAAGATCTAGAAATTAAAGATGTTAATTTTTATTTTTTTTTAATTTTCAAAAGTGATTTTAGTTCATATATTTTTAATGAAATATTAGCTTCAGTTCAATAGCACAGCGGGTAGGGCGTTTGCCTTGCACACAGCTGACCCGGGTTTGATTCCTCCATCCCTCTCGAAGAGCCGAGCAAGCTACTGAGAGTATCCCACCCGCACAGCAAAGCCTGGCAAGCTCCCCGTGCCATATTCAATATGCGAAACACAGTAACAACAAGTCTCACAGTGGAGACGTTACTGGTGCCCACCCGAGCAAATGCATGAACCCCGGGAGGACAGTGCTACAGTGCTACAGTTCATACTGTGCCCTATAATTCCTTCCTTAAACTGTTTTTTTCTTTTTCTTTTTTACTTTTCAAATGACTCCTTAATCTTAAATTTTTCTTTTTTCTTTCTGCTTGAAGGTCGATTGAGCTATCCACATCCCGGAACTGACAATCTGTTGATGTTAAATGGTAAGTTATATTCAAAAATTATTTATGTTTATAATTAATTTGTATAAATAAGGTAATTGAATGCTTATTATGCTAAGCCTTTTCCATAAGTATAAAAATAAATTTGTGATTCCTGTGCAGAAAGCAGGCTGAGGGTGCTGGAGCCAAAGTCCAGGCTGAAAGCACTTGCCTTGACTGTGGCAGACCCTGGTCTGGTCCCTGCCACTGCATATATCATCCCCTGAGCACAGCTGAGCCAGGAGCAGCCCCTGAGCACCACTGGGTGTGTCCCCAGTTCTGCAGACCTCCCTCCCTCCAGAAAGCCAAATTAGTATTCTGGCTGGCGGGGCAGTCACTAAAGTGTGTGCCTTTGCGACAGTCTGGTCTAGTGCAGTGACCCTGGGCAGTGGAGACAGTCAGGTCTTAATATTGGCTCTCCAGCTCATGTTGTGATCTTATTTCAGTTACTTCTCTGAGCTTTAGTTTCCTCTCTGAAATGGAAAAGAAACAATCCCTGTTACGAGAATCAAGTAAGATTTTTTTAAGTCCATTGAGCTTACTGCTTAGTAAAAACTGTGTTTTTTTTCTAATGTAGGAGTACTGCTATTTATTCAGCCAACTGATTAGCTGATTGAATTGGGCATGAACTCCACCTTACTTTTTTTTCATTTTTTATCATTTTATTTATTGAATCACCATGAGAGTAGTTACAAAGCTTTCGGGTCTAAGTCTCGGTCATACAATGAAACACCCGTACCTTCACCAGTGCCCATTCTCCACCCCCAACAACCATAGTATACCCCCATCCCACACCCTCCCCCTACCTGTGGGGCAGATGATTTCCACATTACTCTCTCTCTACTTTGATCACATTCAATATTTTGACACCAGACCCACCATTATTATTTGAGATTTTATCTCAACACTCAGATCTGCTGAAAAGGCAGCAGTAGACAATTTGTTTTCTATTGCTGGTTATGGACAACATATGATGTCGCGTGGCTGCAGTAGTGGCTGCGCAACTTTGAAATTCTGAAATTTTAACACTTAAATCTGAAGGAACTTCTGCCAAAACCTGCTGGGTTCCAAGATTTGCTCCTGAGTCTCTGGGATCATGGCCATTAAGCAGCTTGATCAGGAGCCAGAGAGCCCTTTTGGGGGCGGCGACTCGGGGTCTCATTGGGGTAGGAAGGAAAGGTCGGCTCCATCCCCATCCCATGAGGCCTTGCGTGTCTTGTCACTGTGGGCCCAAACCTGACTGTCCAGTTGCCTCTGGAGGATGATGGCCACCCAGCCACCTAGGGGAAGCAGCAGAGGGACAACAACCTTCCCCCCCTGGGGTGGCCCGGTGACAGTAACCTACTGCGGGGTCTGGACGCATTTCTGCAAAAAGCCACTGGGTTCCAAGATTTGTTTCTGAGTCTCTTGGAAAATGGCCGTTAAGCAGCCTGAGGAGCCAGAGAGGCCATTCATGGGCAATGACTTGGGGGTCTCATTGGGGTGGGGAGGAAAGTACCGGCTCCACCCCCATCCCATGAGGCCCAACATGTCTTGTCACTGTGGGCCCAAACCTGGCTGTCCAATGGCCTCTGGAGGATGGCAGCCACAGGGCCACCAGGGGGAACAGGCCAAGGCACGAAACCTATTCCCACCTGGGTTGGCGCAGCGCCAATAACCTACTGCAAGGGACCAGACGCATTTCTGCCAAAAGCCACTGGATTTCGAGATTTATTTCTGAGTCTCTGGGGTCATGGGCATTAAGCAGTTTGATCAGGAAGCAGAGAGGCCATGCCTCCAATTATATAGCTGAGCCGGAGGTGGTTTGTGGGTGTGTCTCCCACATCCTAATTTTTGGCCGTTTACTTTCTTGGTAAACTTTGCCCCAAGTTTTTGGTGTCTGGCCAAAGGCACAGCAGCAATTCTGGGGTATCTGGAAGTCTGAAGGCACCATCAGGCTGCTGATGCACTCCCCTCACAGGTACAGATTGACCTGCTGGTGGCACCATACCCCCTATAAGACTCTGTGTTTGTTCAGCTACTACTGGCCATTCTGTAAATATGTTGCTCATATCAACTTCCTTTCTTTCTTTTGTACATACCTTGTATTCAGAGTGGCAGTACTTTGCCTGCCAGAGTGTTAGAGTAGACATGAGGATTGAAGTCGTCTCCACAAATGCGTTTTTAAACCCAAGGCCAGGTGAGCTGGGACCTGTGTAGGAAGAGGCACTAACGGAGAAAGCGTTTCCTGTCAGCTGTGGAGCTTGTGGACAGGAATGGGGCTCGGGTGTAGAGTGCAAGGCCTGAGGTGGATGAGGCCCTGGGCTCCATTTTCTGGCCACACACATAGAAACAATTCTATGGACTTTTCTTTGTATCTAAACTACAACCTTGTTAGGGTAACTTGGCAATGGAATTGAGGGACAAAGGCTGAAAAATCAGTGTAAAGCGATAGACTGTGTGAACTGTTATCAAGACTCCATGACAGTTGGGAATAAAGGTCCCAGCCACCCAGGGAATTGTCATATTTGCAGGAGTCCCAACTGAGAAAAACTCAGGAAAACTTAAAGGCAGAGATGGAGAAATTGATTCCTGGTGTTGGGTCCCCCAGCACAGGTTATGCTTAGAGCTAGATCTTTCAAGGTGCAGAGAGTGGGGCCACACAGGTTCCTCCACACCACAGATGCCAGAACTTTCTCCCAGGCGCAGTTTATTTGGGGGCAGGGGCTGTGCAGGGGTGGGGGAGGGGAGCCGTGCCTGAGCACAGGCGGGCTGACTGGAAGAAGGTCGTGGTGCCTGGGGTTTCCAGCTCTCATGGGATCCAAAAGCATCCTGCTGACCTGGCAGTTCTCTCGCCCTGGGAGGGATGAAGCTCCCCTCCAGGACGGGTTGGGTCCTACTGCACAAGCTCAAGCTCTTGTGCTCCAAATCCTCCCCTTTCTAGCTGGGGAGGAGGTTCCTAACGCGCTGCATTGACTTGTCTTGTTAGGTGGTAGAAAGGTGTTGTGCCTTGCTAGGTAGAAAGATGCTTTGCCTTGACGCAATTTCTGTGGTGAGTTTATAGATTGAGCTTCCTGATGGGTTGAGGGGCCAAGTCTAGTCCCTCGATAAAGCAGTTCAGTGGTACCACATTTCTGAATTCAGTTGTAGCGTACATGAACTTGGACTGGAAAGGTGCTAGGTCATTGCATTGCATTGCAAGTCTTCATCATTAAAACTTTTTCCTGTTGTGGAATAATAAAATAATTTGAGTAGCTGTTGCTTTGAACCCTCTATGGCTAAAATTTTTTGAAATTGACATTATAAAAATTCACAAGTTTTTGGTTTTTTGACCCTTTTATAAGTAATGAAAGGTCTAAGATGATAATAAGTTGTATAATTATTATGGCATTATTAAATTATTTTTATATTATTCCTTGTGTAAACAATGGTCTTTCCATTTGTTTTAACCTCTAAAAAGAGCCATTCAGTTGAGAACTTTGACTTTGTATGAACTTCACATATTCTCTTAAACACTGTCTGAGGGAATATCCTCAATTTGTTAGATCATTCAAATGTATTCTTATTGCTAAATCCTTAGTAACTGGGGTGATTGAGAAATATATTGTAATCACTATAAATGTGAGTTGTATGTAACAAAAAACGTAGTAACCACAATGTTTTTACTGCTTACACTTGTGGTTACACCAAATAGTGTTAAACTAATGGATCTTGTTGGTCGCCCAAAACCCTTAAAGTCTAGTAGCTAGGTTTGTTTCATCACATCATGGGCAAAAAGAATGTTTTATTTCAGGCAAGGGCTTTATTTCTGGACACATCTACTGTTTTCCTTGATAGTCTACAACTTTAAGTCAACTGTACATGCTTAATACAGTAAGCTGTTTGGGAAATTATAGACTTTCTGTCAAGGATCTGGAGGAGAAAAAAGATAATTAAAACAGAATATCAAAAAATATGTTTTGGTCAGTAGAGACAATTTGATCCAGAGGTGGGGCAAGATATTTTGCTTATTTGGGATGATTAGTTAAGAGAAAGCAGTATTAGAAAATGGGGCATATTTGAATGGTGCTGAAGTATTTTTAATAAGAAGAATTTGAATGGTTTTTCTAACCATTAAAGTTATTAAAGAGAGCAGTGAGAAAAACCTACTGAAATTGGTTCTTAATTTCTGAACAAACAGACCAAAGTTTCTCAATCTAAGTAGAAATCCAGTAGAACCAACTGGTGGAGTCTGGACAAGAATACAAAATTAATATCCAGAAGAACTTGAAGAAAGTCATGTTTTGTAGGAATTAATGGATTATCTAACTTTGAAATGTTTATGTTCCTAAACCTTTTATTTTTTAATACTGAAAAACAATACAAAAGAAAAAATACTGTGTTCCATAGTAGCAAGGAATACAATATAAAATGACTTGTCAATCAATTATTTGTTTCTACTTTGATTGTTATATTCCCCTGACCCCTCTCCCAAGGAAAGTAGATTGCACTCTCTAAGTATGTAAGATTTTCCAAAAGGGGAGAAGAGCAGAAAAGTTTGGGGGAATAGCATTAACAAACAAGTATGAAATGTAAATTTTCTCAGAGTAACTGAAAAATAATTGCAGTAATAAAGAATTACAGTATTTTGGGGGTGGATGATATAAATTATGGTTTATTTTAATTAAGAAAATTCTGCTATCAGGGCTGGAAAGGTAGTACAGGGGTCAGGGTGCTTCTCTGGCATGTGGCCTACTCAGGTTTGATACCCAGCACTGTATATGGTCCCCTGAGCACCACAGGGTATGGCCCCAAAATAAATACGTACATCTATACACACACATGTTATATATTATCACAAAAATAGAAAGTTATGTAGACAACAAGATTTTTTTCTGCTCACAAAATAGAATAGAAAATACATTTATTTTGAATGTTAGAAAGGAATGCCACCATAGGAGGTATAGAGAAAAAATAAAGAACAGTTTCACACAAAGAGAACTTGAACGTTTAGATATTTGTATCTCCTCCTGTATGTTTATTTACCTCTCATACCAGCTTCAGTAATTGAGTAAAAACAACTGTAATTATAAGGGACAGTTCAGAGAGAATTATAGAATCTTCATCTTTCTTTTTTGTGAATCTGGGCTAAGAGATTATTGGTAACCCATGACTTAATTCTAGAATCACTTGTACAGTGATCAGACTTTCCTTACAACCATTTTATTACCTTCATTTAAAAAGGATAAAGTATAATTTGTATGGCTACATATACATGCATATTTGTATATCTTAGCAAAATTAGTATATGTACTTGAAGTATCCACTTTCTGACTCATGTTGAAATATGCATTTTTAATGCTTGATAAAATGCATGTTCCTGAAATGTAATTCTCTAGTTGTTATGAAATAAATCATTCTCTTTTATGTCAGTCATACTTAACTAAATTTGGAGGGACATAGTATTTAAAGATGTCTTTTTAAAAATACAAAGAGGAGTCATTTAGTGATTTTTTTTTTTTAATTTTTGCTTTCTGGCAATGCTGATTCAGATTATAATGGGAAATACTCCACAAGTTTGCATGAAAATTATAATAAAAATGATAACACACCATTTTATAGAATGTCAGTTGCATTGTGTGACTATAGTCATTACAGGGAATATGAAATGTTTAGTTTCTGCAGTCTGTTCTATTTTTGGTATTGTGTAGAGACTTAGAAGTTGAGAATTGACCAAAAAATAAATGTAATAACTCCACAGGATCCTAAAATTCCTCAGGTATGATGGAAATAAATGGAGAAATTTCCTAAATTACTGTGGTTAAGCCCAGGGATGAGACAAAACCAAAGATTCTATAAACATTTGTATATGTTGCCACCATCTCATCACTGCTAAAAATAGAAAAGCTAAAAACATAAAGTGGTTATGATGTCATTAGTATCCTCAGGTCAAGAATTATGTGCCACTTTATGATCTCTTCATAGTTCATAATTTGACTGTAAAGCACCTAATGAGAATCATTTCCATTGTCTCCTATGTATTCAGTTCCTCTATATGCATAAACAGGATGCCCCCAAACAAACTGATGCAGTATATATGTTAGACCATGACTAGAGTGAAACATGAGGCCCAATTCCCGAAACTTGGCAGTGACGTGCTGGTGGGGATACAAGTTTCAAGCTTAAGGAATTCACTCTTCTACAGTCTGCTCTTGGTAGCCCTATTAAATTTCTGTTGTTGGCCTGATTTTCCGCCAACTGACTTTCCTTAAGAATTGTTTTCGATCTTTTTAAGACCTTTGTAAGTCTCAATAACAGAATTCTAAATTCCACTTCCACTGCTATGTTAACCCTGAACCAAGACCTAGATCAATTAGGTCAACTGTGTATAACCTCTAATATACTTATAAGTAAGCTACATAAGCTAATATACAAGACAGGTAAAAAAAGTTGGACTTTCAGTAAACTGGAGGTTATGGTGAAATCTGCAGTAAATTATTTATAATTAGTACAGTAAAATGGCAGCAAGACAAATCAAATTATTTTATATAAAAGAGGTAGGTCATATTTATTGGCTTATGTTTTGAGTATAAATGAGTCCCCTTTTTATTATGGGGAACAAAGCTTATATTTTTACCTTATAGCACATTTTCATATTAAAGATAGTGTAAATTTAAAATATATTTTATAAAACTTCTATGATAAATATACTTAGTGATATGAAATATTTTTTGATCTTTAAATTACATGCTTTACAGTTCTCATGTCTTTTAATACATACTTGGATTTATTTAATTTTAAAGCTTTTGTAGGTCTAATGTATCCATGAACATGAATTGAACTCTTTTAGTCATTTTGGAATTTGATTATTTCGATTTTTGTATTGGTTTTAAGGCAAAAAATACTCATTCAATACCTTAACTGGGGGAGGGAATTATTGGAAAATAAGATTTAGGTTTTATTACACTGTTATTATGAAAAGAAATGCAATGTTTTCTCTGTGATGAATATATGAACTGCTAAAAATACTAATGTAAATCCCCTTTTATTTATATTTGTATAAGTATGTTTGTATTCTATCTTAAACAATATTTTAAATATTTGCTGTTATTTATAATATTCTAAAACATTGTACCTGAATTTCTTTTGCCCCAGAGATGGAGATGAATACATAAGTAAAAATTATTATTATTATAGTATGTTATATACTAATCAAGTTTTTTAAAAGAGTGATTTTTTTTCCTACTCTATGCTATAGAGACTTCAAAATATTAGCTTTATTGATTATGTTTTCACTTTTCTGTGTCTTCTAGTATTTTTTCATTGTTGGGCTTATAGCATGAATTAAATAAAAATATAATAGTTTCAGTTCTGTATGATAAACCCTCAGTAGGAAAATACTTTATTCAGTTTTTTCCTATCCATGTGAGATTATTTGGGATGCTGTTTAAAGTGTCATTCCTGTAACTGGACAGAGAAAAATGGGTACTCATGACTTTTAACAAGAGTGAGAATAAATTTTATATTTTCCACTAATTTTAGTTTCGTATAGTGCAGAAAATATAATGGTTAAACTTGCAAATGTTACATGGTGATGTCTTGGCTTTTAAAGTAGCTCTAATACCCAAATGCCCACATAACTTTTTATATCATAAATATTTTGTATATGTGGGCTTATTTTTAGTTCTGACTTTTTACAATTTGTCCTTTGTTTACATGCAGCAAGGAGTTATGGGCGAAGACGAGGTAATTCATTTCTGTTTGCTATGGCTTAATTGTTTCTAATTGGGTCTTACTGATCATTGTTCTAAATAATCCCAGATTTCTTAATGCAATGTCTAGATTCTCACAAAAGAATTGTCTTCTGATTTGGCACTTGTCATAGTTTTGAATCCTGGATCTCTCCTACCGTTTGAAGCACATTTTCGTTCTATTCTAAAATATCATTTAATCATTTTTTCTCAACTTTTTAAAATAAAGCTGCCATTTATAATTTGCTTAAGAAACATACCTAATAAATGCTATTAAAGCAAGATGATTTTTCTACTCTAGTTCTATAGCTTACTGTCTTATCTGTGGTACGTGATTTATGGCCATAATTTATTGATGTTATGTTTGTCCCAATTAAAAATAACAAACACTAAGATTGTTTTTAACCTTTATTTATAAAAATCATCTTGCTAATATTTCTCTGTGCCTTCTGAGTATCCAAAACACATGCACTCACTTTTCTCTCTCTCCTCCAATGACCTGCCTTCCTCTCGGGAATTTTGTTATCGTAAGGAAAAAACATGATGCTGATCTAGTAAAGTTCCTAAGAACACAGCCGACATTTTCTGTGGCTTAACTTTGCTGCCTCGCTTGTGTGGGTGTAGAAGTTGTGAAGGAGAAAAGTAGATGTGATGAGAAGAAACCAGAATAACATACTACTAGATCATCCTCGAAGTGAGCAAAGATTATTATATTCATAGAGTCTTTGTAAGTACCAAATCTGATGGAAAGAATTGTTCTTGACCCTTGAGATCTCTTTTGGGCCACAGAGGACAGGCAGTGATAACAGTGCTTTCAGGTGCTTATTATCTGTCCCTGCCTGTTTCCTTTCATCTGGTCATGAAAAAGACTCTTCTTGAGAACAATCAAAACTATTTGCCATTATTGGTGATGGAAACAAAAAGGTTTTTAAGTAGTATTCTATTCTGTATTTCAATCTGAATTTGACTTTATTGTTAGAATGTGGTCTCTTCCAATATTCTACTGGCTTTTAATTCCTTAAAGAATTTTCTTCTTGGAGACTCAAGACTCAGTGTGGTAACCGCATTGTAAAGGTTGTCAGCAGCAATTGAGAAAATAATTTTTAATACTATTTTCAGATATGTGGACTGTCTTCATTATGCTCTTCTAAAACAAAGTGTCAGGGGCTGGAGAGAGATCCCACTAGGTGTAGTACATACTTTCTGTGCCGAAAATCTGGGTCTGATGCCCCGCACGGCCTTGTCCCCAGAGCACGATGTGGAGCAGCCCCCAGCAAGGTCGAATAGCTCCCAAGCACCCTTGGGAGTGTCCCAGAAACAGAACCACAAATTGGAACTTCAGTTCTCTTGGAAAACTTTATTTATTGCCCTATGTTTTTGTTTATGGATTTTTTTTTTCCAGGAGTTTTGAAATTGTAGAACAGTTTAGGTTTCTTTCTTTGGTATACGTCTTTCGTCTTTCAATCTTAGTGATTTACTTTAGTTTGGAGTTGTCTAGCTTAAATAAGATCTAGGAATGTTTACAGGCTGGACAGAGGTAGTCCAGTGAATAACCCCTTGCCTTGCTCTTGGCTGACCCAGCTCAGTCCCCGGGACTCTGTAAAGACCCCCAACCCCCAGGCCTACCAGGACTGTTCCCTGCGCATAGAGCTTGGAGGACGCACTGAGCACAATCAGGTGTGGCCCAGAACCCCCCCCCCCCACACACACACACACACACACTCCCATGAGAAAGAACTAGGAAGTTCTGAAGAACAAGACACCATTTATTTTGCTTATTATCACATCTTTACTGGCCCAGATTGCCTCCCCAAGTAATTTTTTACACTGAGAAGTATTATGAAACTAAAAGTGTCTCCAGAGAGGGACTTCCTTCTGCCCTCATTCTGTCTGTGCTCTGAGAGCCTCAAAGGTTTCTTTCATTGACTTCAGAGCTGCTAACAGTCTAGTGACTGCAAGGGCTTCAACAGACTGACATGTTTCACGCTGAATTTGAGCATGGGAGAATAATGCCTAAATACTTCCCAAACAGTGTGAAGTAGTAATTTTTCCTATTGGTCTTATGTGAAAGCAGGAGTCTTCTAATACAACTGGGAGCCAGAGAGAGAATACTGTGGATAGGTACTTGCCTTGCACACAGCTGACTCAGGTTCAATCTGAAGCATCCCATATGGTCCCCCAAGCCTGCCAGGATTGACCCCTGAGCACTGCCAGGTATAGGCCAAAACCAAGAATTTTGATTTGGGGAGCTGAGGAAATGGTTTTGAAGGTTGGAGTGCATGCACCCTGTGGTTCTCGGAGCTTGAAGAAAACCACTAGGAGTGGCACCAAGCAGAACAATTGATTTTCACGGTCAGATGTATAATACACACGTTAAAGAGAGCTTTGAGGTATATCAATATGAAAATGCTCAGAAATAACACAGACCTTAAAAAGCAATACCAAAAAAACCAATTTAGAAAGGACTAGAAATAAGTTGGCTGGCTCTCTTTCTATTGTTTATGAAGTTTTTTCTCCCCAAAGCCAATAACACTGTTAGACTAATTACCTTTTTGCCACTTTATTGACTTCATGGTTTAGATTTGACCCATCAAAAGAAGTTGTGCCTGTTTATTTTCTTAGTCATTTTTCTCTTCAGAAAAAAGCCTTATACATATCAGATCTGTTTGTGTAGGATGTGCCGCCAAGTTGATGCTGTTGCCAACATAAGACATCTGTCAATATGGTGGTGGGTGAACAGTCACAGTTTCACACAGCATTTTGATTTTGCAGCCCGCTTTAGGAAGAAGTGTTTTCTTTTACTTACAACTTTGACTTAATCAACCCTGGCATGGAGTAACTCTTTTCATTTAAAGATTTTCCCACTTGAATATAGTCAAACCCTACTACTATGAAAATAGTTTATATATTTTAGTGTAATGTCAATGAGAAATTTAAGTCAATCTGATCCTAGATAGTAATATATTAATAAACTTGATCAAAATTTAGTATGCTAGAAGTGACTTGAGTATACTGGAAGTGAGCATAGTTTTTCCCTCCAGTGTTTAGTATTATTCTATATGTCCCATATTACATGGCTTTGTATCTTGGGAGTCTTCCAGTTCTACTTCAGAACCGCTTAGAGCCAGATTCAGGGAGAAAGAACACTCATGGAGACACAAACTTAAAAAACGATTTTCTGTATTTTACTGGAGCAATAGCACAGGGTAGGGCGTTTGCCTTGCATGCAGCCAACATGGCCGACCCGAGTTTGATTCCTCCACCCCTCTCGGAGAGCCCGGCAAGCTACGGAGAGTATCTTGCCCACCCAGCAGAGCCTGGCAAGCTCCCGTGACGTATTCGATATGCCAGACACAGTAACAACAAAGTCTCCAATGGAGACGTTACTGGGCCCGCTCGAGCAAATCGATGATCAACGGGAGGGAGAAGAAGAAGGAGATTCAGTGTATGTCTTCATTCTTTTTTGCAAAGAAGTATACGGGCCTGATGTTGGGATTTTAAAGGGAGGTGTGAAGTGTGATTTAAACTCTAATATAGAGTATTTAATAATCAATAAAAACTAATTCTGTTATTAAAATGCATTAGTAAAAATGCTATTATGAAAGATAATCTAAATAGTTGTTTTTAATCATACAATTATCTAATCATTTATTTAATAATTATTACATATTAGTAAAATTTAGTAAACAATATTTATGTTAATGCTAATCAAATAATACAGTTTGAAGAACCTATTTTAGTACTAAGCACCACAAAGAAATCTCTTCTTATCAGGAAAACCCAAAGCTTGAGTTAGTATATTTTTAGTATATTTAATAATCAGTAGAAACTATATTAATAATATAGGAATAATCTAAATAATGTTTATATTATATATAATATTCATATTAAGGATAATAAAATAATAAAAAGAAATAGGTATTAAGCATCCCAAAGCAACCTCTAAACAGATAACCCAAAGCTTGAATTAGTAGAGTGTATGCTAAAAGTTAAAAGAAATCATTTTAAAGGAAGTTAAATTATGGGAGCTAAATTACTTGAGAGACTGGTTGTATTCATATTATGTAGTTACCAGATATATGTGCTGTAATAGGTCTTGGATTATTAATGCCCAGTACCTTTTATAGTGCTTTAGCATTGACCCACAATTTGGTAGATTTAATTTGATTTGAACTGAAATGACTCAAGTGCATGCTCCTAATACCATGGATATCAGGTTTTTTTTTTTTCTTTTTGGGTCACACCTGGCTATGCCCAGGGGTTACTCCTGGCTCTGCACTCACAAATTCTGGTGGTGCTCAGGGGACCATATGGGATTCTGGGAATCGAACCTGGGTCAGCCACGTGCAAGGCAAATGCCCTACCCACTGTGCTAACACTCCAGCCCTCAGATCTTTTACGATGAAGTCATCCTTCATCTTTGATAAATGTTTTTGGTAACTGTTAGAATACTCAAGAAAAGAGTCAGCCGCTGGGGGAGTCTCGCCAAGCCTTGTGTTCTTGGGAGTAGAGTTGGTTTGGGGCCATACCTGGTGGGCTCAGAGCTTACTCCTGGCCCTGTGTTCAGGGAGCACTTGGTGAGCTCAGGGGCCCATCTGAGGTGCCGGGGATCGCACCCGCGTCGCGTACATACAAGGCAAGCCCTCATCCACGTGCCATCTCTCCAGCACCTGGTAAGCAGTTTTTCTGGAACAAGGCCCATCTCTGTTGCTTTCTTGTCTGATTGTTTTCAAGATGCAGTCACAGCAGACTAGAGTAGTTAAGAAGGTATAGCCTACAAGTCTACAGTTCATTTTTCTCTGGCTTTTCCAGAAAAAGTATTTTTTTTTTCTTTTTGCGTTACACCTGGTGATGCACAGGGATTACTCCTGGCGTTTTACTCCTGGTGGTGCTCAGGGGACCATACGGTATGCTGGGAATCAAACCTGGGTCGGCCATCTGCAAGGCAAACATCCTAACCACTGTACTATTGCTCTAGCCCCCAGAAAAAAAATT